TGCTGAGTGGACTCATAGCAACCCTATGTAAAATCCAAGACTATGTATCTTCTCAAGAATGAACAGCACAGAGCAGCTGGTGGGTTTGAACCAAAGACCTTGCACAAAGCAGCCCAATGCTTATCCCACAATGTTTTCAGGGCCTAGTCATGTGTGCCTGGGGAACACTGTACCTGTTGCTGTGAGAGGAGAATTGGAGAGGAAAGGAAGGGCTGCGCTTGAGGAAGTGTTACTCAGGTTGGCGGGGGAGGGGGAGCACATGCATAGTGCATAGCATTGCCCACCCCTTGCTCAGTTCCTCCTTGGCTGTTTTCAGTTCCCACACCAGCTTGGCACATAAAAGCCTCTCCGCCCCCTATCTGGGCTTCTCTTTTAAGTTACTGAGGAAACAACACGGCGTACCTTTTTTTATGACTTTGTTATACATACTGATTGGTCAAATGTACCCTTGTAGATTTTCTTCACACGGCGTATCTTTTTTTATGACTTTGTTATACATACTGATTGGTCAAATGTACCCTTGTAGATTTTCTTCCTGTGTTTTACTGACTCCTTGTGACCCTGCGTAAGGTTTCCGAGGCTAGAAATTTTCACTGGAGCAGACAGCTTTATCTTTCTCCTGTGGAGTGACTGGTGGGTTTAAACCACCAAACTTGCCATTGGCTATTCAACACTTACCTGGTAGTGCATGGTGCCGCTGGGTCTCCCTGTGTATGTACTTATGTATGTATATGAGCAAGTCAAAGAGTACTGCTATGAGGGGTCCAATTGATACAGGCACAGATTTATTCCAAACAAAACTCATTCCAAATAAAACATTTTGTTTTATTCCAAACAAAAAGATATCTCTCTGATCAATGGATGGCTGCAGACAAGTTCTCCTAATAACTCCCTTGTTTTAGTCTGGGTAGCACCCTCTCAGGAAAGATCCAATCAAGTAGTTTAAAATTTAGCACCGTACCATTTGATCTCCTCCCTTTGTAGTCATTTAAATTTGTTCTAGTTTTTAATATTTTCTGCTTTCTTTTCAGTTGAGGTTTCTTATCTGCTTTATTTGTTATTGTTATTAACTTTTTTTTTTAATGTTTTCCTGTATATGAAAGCCAGCCATGATAGGTAACTCTATAAAGACAGTAACTGGATTAATGGTTCCCTGAGGGTGTGGCAGGGGAGGTTGGGTGGAAATGGGAGCTAATGAAGAGTGCGAGAATGAAGGACATGTTCTAAAGCTGACTCTGATGACCATTGTACAACTCTTCTTGATGTGACCGAACTATTGAATTGTGTGATAAGTAAATAATATGCCAGTCAAACTGTTGGAAAAAACAGTGGCTTTGAGGCAACCTATAGGACCACTTAAAACCAAAGCAGAGAGGTCAGCTTGTAAGGTGATAGCAACTCTTTTTTTAACGCACCAAGGGGATCATCATAATAGATTTCCTCAAAGGACACAGGCCAATCCCAGGGGCTGATTTTGAAGAAATTTTAAGAAAATGGAATCCCACCCCCAACCCCCATCATGACAATGGGCTTGTTCATTCTTCAAGGGTAGCAAGGGCTGTCCTATGAGAGTGTTGTTGGTAAACCTTGCCCCTTCCACCCTGCAGTCTTGATCTTGCCCCTTCAGACTTCCTCTTGTGCTCAAAACCCAGAGAACATTTCAAAGAATGTGATTTGAGTCCCTCAAATTGCCCAAACTGTCCCCTGGACATGGTGTAAGCACATAGAATTCTTTGGAGGAGGTTTAGAGAGAGGGGACCACTGCCTTCAGAGGTCTGTAGACTTCGACAGGCTATGTCAGGAAACAATTGTCTCTCCTGTTTCGATTTTCTTCTTTCATCAAGGTTTCTGTGATTTTTGTAGCAATCCTTTTCTGCATACCCTTAAATACATTCATCTCTGACGATACAGTGGTTGTGTGTTGGGCTGGGCGATCCGCATAGTTGGTTGGCAGCTCGAAACACCAGCAGCTCTTGGGAAGCAAGACTGGATAAACAGTTAACGGTCTCGGAAACCTGCAGGGGTCGCCAGGAGTCAGCATTGACTCCATGGTAGAGAGTTTGGTTTGGGATTGTGCTAAGGCAGTGAGCTTTTGGAAGCAGAAGGCCAAGCCTCCTCTTGCACTGCCTCTGGGTGTGCTTGAACCACCAACCTTTGGGTTAGTCCAGCGGTTAACTGTTGCCACCTTGTAGAGCAGTGGTTCTCTACCTTCCTCATGCCACAACCCTTTCATACAGTTCCTCATGTTGTGGTGACCCCCAACCATAAAATTATTTTCGTTGCTACTTTAAAACTAATTTTGCTACTGTTATGAATCATAATGTAAATATCTGATATGCAGGATGTATTTTCATTGTTACAAATTGAACATAATGAAAGCATAGTGATTGATCACAAAACAATATGTAATTATATATTGTGAAATATTTATTTCTAATTACAAATCAATGAAATGTTGTCTTGAAGCATGGCGTAGCATGGGTAACAGTCTTCATGCCTGGTACTCATAGGTGGACATATCTGCATGTGGACAGACCTACCTGGACACAATAGAGGAGCGGTGTCTTGGTTCCTAAGACCATCAGAAATACGTGTTTTCCAGTGGTCTTAGGTGACCCCTGTGAAAGGGTCATTTGACCCCCAGAGGGGCCGAGACCCACAGGTTGAGAACCGCTGCTGCTCCAACACATGGGATTGACATGAGTCGAAATCAGTTTGATGGCTACTGGTGATTAAGTCTACTGAGGTAGGAAACTGTAGATAATGTTTGGTGACCTGTTTTTTCTATTCAGGTTTTGGCTTCGGTGTTTGTTCTTCATGGAGTGTTTTTTGAAAGCAGTTAATTGTATTGATTGTTATTATTATTATTTTAGTATCCAGCTCACCCGTCCCACAGCTGGACACTTGCTCGCTTTCACTTTTGGGTTGACCCAGAGAAACAGTGCCGTTTCCTGCCCCTGTGCCCACGGTGGGCATAGTCCTTGTGGTTCCACAGCTGTGTTGAGCTCCATCAGGCTCGTAGAGGCCTGTGATCAAGGAGAGTGGAGCCCTGGCCTAGGCCTTCTTCCTGTGTTTGGGGGATATCTGTCCCAGGATAGGCTGAGGTGAAAGAATGAAAGGCCAGCTGGGGCCCAACACCTGCCCGCTGCCCAGGGCAACAGAGGCAGGCAGTCAGGGAAAGGGCCTCCTCCAGCTTTAGTAAACCCTGCCTTTAGTGTAGGAAGACTAGGAAACATTTCCCAGGGGTCATGGGAGCAGTGTAAGGTATGACCCCAGAACATGAACTGCTTCAATCTGAAGTGGCCCTCTTTGAAAGCCAGGAAGCACTGGCCAGACCTGCTAGGAAAAGGAAACCCAAAACTGCCTGTCCAGCCCTTTCTCTGCAGCCTGCCTGCGTGGGGAAGCGCGGCCGCAGCCGCTCCAGGGTGCTGGTGGACCGTGCTGTCCATGAGACACTGTTGGTTGTATTTACTACGGATGGTAAAATGTTTCCTGTTGCCGGCCCAGGGGCCTTAAGTTTTAAGGTCAAAACCTACACATTTCTCTGAACTGGAGGTTGAGGAATTTGGGTCCCCAGGTTTCCATAGCGATTGTAGGAATTGCTGGCACAAACCCGCCTGTCGGTTTGGATAATTCAGCGTTTTGAGCCCCTCAGCTGATGAATGGGAGTGAGCACAGACTCCTGTGAGGGTTGATTTGGCCTCCTAACCGCCAAGTTGCTTTCAGCGGTGGCTCCGTTTTGAGAGGCCCTCTGGGATATGATCTTGCGCTCTGGACACTCCCCCCTCTCTGAGCCCCTTTGCATTTGCTGCTACTCCCCAGGGAGTGGGGGCCGGATGTGAGAGCTGGTTACTAGGTCTTCCCTAGGATTTGCGTCAGCAGACCCACGGAGCCTCCCAGCCCCCAGCCCAGCTCACCATCAGCCTAGAGGGAGAGCACCGATGTGCACAGAGATCCAGGAGAAGGCTCTTCCTTCACCAGGTGCTGGTCTATTTTCCAGCCCCCGCTCAAGGGATTCCAGAGCATCTTCAGCCTTATATACCAATTCAAGTGCCTTACTGAGCACGACTCAAAGGAATTCAAAGCCATTCTGTTTTCCTGTGGGATCAGGTAAAGACACTGCTGGGGGAGAATTGGAAAGGGTCTTCCTGGGATCCCACCTGTACTTCCAGCAGAGACAGGGTGATTGTTGATGTTTGTTACTCCGCTTTAAAAAAATTAATAGTTTGAAAACATTGCAGATGTTTGTTCTAGAAACTGAGAAATCCAGAAAAATATAGGCACGATCACCATCCAAAGATAACCTTCGATATTTTTGTGAGGTCCCCACCCCCGAGGTGGTACAGACAGCTTGCCCTCAGCTGCTAACCTCAAGCGTGGTGGTTTGAACCCACCCAGAGGTGCTGTGGAAGAGAGGCTGTGGCAGTGTGCTTCTGAGAAGGTGGCAGTCAAGAAAACCCTTCTGGAGTGTGCTACTCTCTAACGTGCCGAATCCTTATAGGTCAGGCCAACTCTGCAGCAATGGATTTGTGTGTTTGTTGTGAATTCGTTCTTCTCAGTTCAGTTCTTTTATCTGTATACATCTTTCATAATAAAATTCAGATGCCTGTGATGTTTTGTATTCTAAATTTAATTATTTTCTTTTTTTTGTTAGAACTTCTGAAATACTTTATTGCTAAAGCAGCTTTTCTTTAAGCACATGATTTGCAGGAAATTCTTTAAACTAAGCCACTTGGCGTGAACAGTATCAAGGCCACATTTCCCTTACTCAGACATTGCCTATTGAAATGCTCGAGAGTGCCAGCCCTGAGCTAGACTCTAAGGAGACCAAACAGATAGGGCTCCTGTCTGGGAAAGCGCGTTCAATCTTTAAAATGAGATTTTTGGTGGTCACCCAATAGTCCCCATCAAACATTATAGACATTCTCACTTTTTTTTAAACAATTATAAATAACTGCAGTGAACATGATTTTTACATAAATCTTTTATTATTTTTTTAGGCTAAATTCCAAGGCGTAGCATTTCAGGATCAAAGGTATGACTATTTAAAAACGTTTGATTTGTACTGCCAGCGGCCCTTCAGAAAGGTGGGTGCAGTTGGTGCCAGCGTTATTGGAGCCCCAGTTTTGGGGCTACCTCCTCTGTCGGAGGCAGGTTTGGGAGCCTTTTCCAGCTTGACTCTGCTCTTCTCTGCAGCTCTCCTCACTTGAAAACTTCACCCTTCTTTCTTCCCACTTGCTTTCTGGAAGGAGGGGGCGGTCCACGGGTCATTCAGCCATCAAACAGGGCTGTGGGGCAGAAGGGACCCCAGTAAGGTGACCACTCCCCAAGGCTGTCTACTGGTGCCTGGGAGCCGGATGAAACCTAGCACTAGCAGTGCTGCAGGAGAGCCTCCGTGCCCCCAGCCCCACCCCCAGCACTGGAGCAGCCCATAGCATCTGATGCCTGAGGGAGGGCAGCCTCTGACTCGCTGGACCCCTGGAACCACCCAGGGATTGTCTCAAAACGCAGGTCACTGGACAGTCAGTCCAACAGTAGTTGGGAAGCAGCACTTTGAGTAAGCAGCCTAGCGCAGCCTAGAGCCTGCCCACCTGTTTCCTCATCCTGCAAGATGGGGCAGAACACCACAGTTTCCCGTGAAAGGTGTACAGGCCTTCTTCCAGGACGCACAGTGATTGGGAGAATGTAATGATGTAAAGCAAGTATAGGCTTTGTTTGATGTCTGACCCTGTAAGGGCGCAGCAACATTGTGTAGGACCCCGTACAACCCTGCTCAGGGAAGCATTCGTTCTAAGGGGCCCAAACCGAAAAACCCAAGCCAATTGATTCTCATACCGACCACCTGTGTTTCAGAGAACTGTGCTTCATGGGGTTTTTTAATGGCTGTCACCTTTCCGAAGCACATCATCAGGTCTTTCTCCAAGGTGTGTTTACATGGTCAACTTTTGGGTTCAGAACCAAGAGCTTAATCATTTGTGCCACCTTCCCCAGGCCTTAAGGAGCCCCATTGGTCTCAATGGACTACACATTGGCTGCTGACCACAAGATCAGCAGTTCGAACTCCCCTGGAGTGAGAAAGTTGAGGCTTTCTACTCCATAAAGATTTTCAACTGGGTAAACCCACGGGGCAGTTCTCCTCTGCCCTGTAGCACTATGAGTCAAAATCTCCTCACTGGCAGTGAGTTAACCCCCAGGCCCTGAGGTTGAGATTAGGTCCAGGCCCTGCCTTGATGGCCCTACCTTACAGTTCTTTAGCTTCCCTTCCCTAGGTGCAGCTCTTCCAATGTCTGGGGAACCAGGGAACAGTCTTGCCAACAGGCCGCTGCTAGAGAACTAGAAGTTGGAAGGCCTTCATTCTACTTGAAGGAACTCGACAGAAGCAGTTAGAACACCCACCAGCAAGAGAAAGATGTGGAGCCGTCCCACCCGACCCATAGGGTTGCTTTGAGTCCGAATTGATTCAACAGCAATGGATCCTCTTCTTTGAACCAAACTGACATGCTGAAAACCAAAGTGCTGTAAGAGCCACCTGTGGCCTCAGACCCCATCTCAGGCAGCGCTCTGCAGGGAATGTTACAATTGAGCTTAAGAACATGTAGCTGGCTCTCTGTTTCAGGTGCCCCTGTGAGTGAAAGTGGGCCCATCATTGCAAGAAAGGAGTGAGAGGAACTCCTGCGCGTGCAGATTTCTCCATGGTCCCCACCAGATGGTTTCTGTCATCGCTCGAGATGAAGGAACTACACCAAGAACTTCCCAAGGCAGGGAGGCACGTAGAGCCTGTGCAGTTTCGATTGGGCTCTGCTCGGTATACCCTAGGAGCCCTGGTGGCACAGTGGTGACTGCAGGCAGTGGTTTCAAATTGGGCTGCTAACTGCAAGGTCCGAAGTTTGAAGCCACCAGCAGATCCATGAACGAAAGACGAGGCTTTCGCCTATAAAGAGTGGCGCCTCAGAACCCACAAAGCCAGTTCTACCCTGGCCTCTGGGTCACTGTGGGCCAGAATTGACTCGAAGGCAGTGTGTTTTATGTATGCTCTGCTGGCCTTCAGTGCTCACCACCAGGTGACAAATCCACCCTCCTGGGGGCTGGACTGAACCAATTAGGGAGATCACAGCTGAAGCAGTAGAGGCAAGGCCTACCTGGAGTGCTCCTCAGCTAGCACACTGCTCTTGTGAAAGGACACGTCTGTCCATATCCCTGTTCTTCAGAAACCCGAGCTGGTTCCCCACTGCTGAGTTAGGCATCAGTGGTTCCGCACTCGAATTCTGCCTTCCCCGCAGGAGACCCAGGCTGTTTCTGGCCAGTGGACCTCAGGCACAGACACCACTGCTCTGGTGAGTGGAGGCTTGAATGTTATGGTGGTGTAGAGGTTTCAGAGGAACTTCCAGACAAAGAAAGACTAGGAAGAAGACCTGGTCGTCTACTTCCGAAAAATCAGCCATTGAATACCCAGTAGATCACAATGGTTGGATTCGCAACCAGTCATGAGTACAAGACCAGGCAGTGTTTTGTTCTATTGTGTGTGTGTGTGTGTGTGTGTGTGTGTCAGGCTGGTGGGGGGCAGGGGGAGAGAAGTGCGTTTTACCATTGAGGGCCAGCTTGGTGACAGCTAGCAGCCACAACCAACTGCTGCCAGGTGACCATGTTACAGCCAATCAAAAGGGAATTTTCACACTAGGCCATGCCATGTCACCTGTCCCATTGATTTTTGTCAGTGGTCATTTCTCTCTGGAATGACCCACCTGCTTCAGTCTCTGCCTCACAGTATTCCTAAGCTGTGAGGCCCATCACAGGAACCACTTACTCCACTAGACAACATCGTATCCCCATACCTGGAAGGACTTCTCTTCCTTTTGACTCCAGTAGCACATTGTCTTCTTCATCTGCCCTTGCCCTGTTGTCACGCCTGTGTTTGTCTCGTTAGATGCCACTGAGTATTTGAGCCTCACCGGGACCCTGTGTACCCTGCCTGATCCTGTATCATCCCCACACAGTTGCTATATTTGAGCCCCTTGTTGCATTTACTGTGCAAATCCATCTCATTGAGGGTCTTCCTCTTTTTCTCTGTCCTTTTACTTTACCCAGCATGATGTCCTTTTCCAGGGACGGGTACCTCTTGATAACATGTCCAAAATACATGACATGAAGTCTTAGCACCCTCACTTCTAGGGATTACGTTTTAAAAGAGAGATTAGTTTGTTCGTCTGGTAGGTCATGTACTTTGAGTACTCTTCATTAGCACTCTCATTAACTGTATCGACTCTCCTGCATATAAGGCCGTTGAAAAAATCATGGCTTTGGGAGGAGAAGAAATGAGGAGCTGATGCCAGGGGCTTAGGTGGAGAGCAAATGTTTGAGAATGATGAGGGCAATGAATGTACAAATGTGCTTAAAACATTTGATGTATGTATGGATTGTGATAAGAGTTGTATGAACCCCTAATAAAACTATAAAAAAAAAAGGAAAAAATCATGGCTTGGGTCAGGTGCACCTTCGTTCTCAAAGTGAGCCAGCACCAGGTGTCATTTGATTTCCTGACTGCTACATCCATGAACAGTGCCAATAGATGCAAGCAAAGTGAAGTCCTTGACAGATGAGATCTTTTCTTTGTTCATCATGATGTTACTTTAGGGTCGCAATCCTTACTGACAGATTTTGATCTTCATCTTCTCTGTGATCTTCATCAGCAAGTGCTTCAAACCCTCTTCACTTTCAGCAAGCAAGGTTGTGTTACCTACGGATCGAAGGGGTTGGTAAGCCTTCCTCCAGTCTTGATGCCGCCTTCTTCTTCAAAAGACCAGTTTCTCAGATTACTTGCTCAGCATACAGATTGACTAAGTATGGTGAGGGGCTACCACCCTGTCACAGGCCTGTTCTGCTTTTAAACCATGCACGATCCCCTTGTTAACACTGTTTGAATGACTGCCTCTTGGACAGTGTACAGATTATGCATGAGTGCAGTTAAGTAGTCTGGAATTTCCCTTCTTCTCAAGACTGTCCATTGTTTGTTAGGATCCACAGAGTTGAATGCCTTAGGCTAGTCAAGAAACAACACAAGGAGTTATCTTTCTGGTATGCTCTGCTTTCTGCCAAGATCTGTCGGACGGACGTCAGCACTGATAACCCTTGTGACGCATCCTCGTCAGCGTCCAGCTGCGATTTCCTGCAACTCCCTGATGATGTACTGCTGCAGCTGTTGTGTAATCACGGTCAGCAAAGTCCTCCTTGCATGTGATATTCATGAGATTGTTGGATGATTTCTGTATTCTGTGGATTCTCCTTTCTTTGAAATGGTCGCAAATACGGGCTCTGGGCCAGATCATTATCGTCCACATTTCTTGGCATACACGCGTGAGTGCGCCCGTGCCGTTTCAGCTTACTGGAAGGAACACTTCAGTGGGCGTCCATCAGTTCCTGGAGCCTTCCTTTTACGCTAATGCCTCAGTACAGCTGGGGCTTCTCTTCCTTCCGCCCCATTGGTTCTTATCTGCCCTTCCTTCGGTGTCATTGGTACATGGGACATCTGCCTCAGTGTGTGGCTTCTTGGTAGTGAGGCGCTCACTCATTTTGAAATCACAGTGGAATGACGGCGATTTTGTAGCCAGTGAGGTGAGCAGGGTGTGGCCAAGCAGTGTGAATGTAATCGGGGGCTGGAGTGAAGATCTGTGAGAATCAATTAGACCACAGCCAAGTTGCTAACGTCACACAAATAAAAAAGTAGCAGCTACAGATTCTGCTTGGCCAAAACTAAGCAAGACAAACCAAAACAGAAAGCTGGCTGGATTAGTGGAAGCAATCGACATACTCAGTTGAGAATCATCCACTACTGGGTGGGAAACAAACTTCGCTCCAGCCCAGTAATGAACTTCCCTAAACCCCCGAGCCATCAGAATCAGGGCAGAGCTGGTTCCTGTGAGCGAGAGGTCAGACATATGTCCACTCTCTAACTTCTTCACCATATCTGACATATATCCCCCCATGACTCTTGCTACTTCTCTGATGGGTTTAATAATTAATTCACTGCAATAGTCACAGAGACCTGACAGACCGTACTCACCGCTAGGTGGTTTATTAGGGAGGTAACAGGCTACAGCTTAGGATTGGGATCAGTGCGGAGGTAACAGCAACAACTTGGGGTCCGGAGCAATGAGGAAGGAACAAGAGCAACTCAGAATCAGGAATAGGCATCAGCACATCAGCAAGATCTGGGGAGAGATCTTCCCAGAAGAGAGCACATCCCTCCCTTCTTCAGTGCAGGACCTCTTCCACCAGGACAGCTCCCAAGTCTTCCTCCTCTTCCGGGCTGCAGCCCCATCTCTCGACTGTGTGTACTGGTAGGGCCTTCTCTCACCTGTGCACGCCCTTGGCCATGCACGCCCACTCTTGGCTGCAGAGGCCTCCAGCTTCTGCCCAGTGTAGCTGCTTGCTCACCTGCCACTCTCCTAGCAGTGCCTTCCGGCCGTTGCCACCACCAGCTCTGTCTCAAGGCTCCTTATGTTACAGCCCCTTGCCTGGGCACAGCTCTTTCAGGAGCTTCCTGCCCACTGTCACCCCTCTCTCTCCTTACCTTTCAAACAAACTCTGGGTATGGCTGCTTATGTAAGCCTGTCCTTGCCAGCAGGGCCACTAGCAACTGATCTCACAAGTCACTCTATCCTCTTGTGTGGACTTTAAAGCCACTGTGTACACAGTGTACTCACCAATCTGCAGGGTTTGTAAAGCAAACCAGTTACAGGGCAGAGTGAAGGTCTCAAATCCCAGGTTGCTTACCGTTTTCCCAGGAAATGGCAATCAACCTGGACCAAAGTCAGGACCGCGTGGGGTATTGAACGGAAGCAAAGGTAACTGACGCCTCACCGCTTGGGAGGGAAATCTCTCCAAAGAACCAAGGCAAAGGGGCCACAGCAAGGAGTTCATTTCACCACCCAGACCTTGCCCTCCGTCCCCAGACTGCTGCAGCTCAGCCCCAGCTCTCCAGGAGGTGGGTGATGGGCGGGGGCGGGGTGTATGTGGCTCTGTGCATAGCTCAATTCATCCTGATCGCCCAGGAGTTGTCTGCAGTGTTTTAGAACAAAGCCCAGTCCAGTTTCCCTGGAGTCAGTTTGGGGTCCCACATGGGTCAGATTAGAACCTCCAATCTTGGGGTTTGTAGCCAGGCACGTCACACTTTTGTTGTTAATTGAGTCCAGGGCCACCTCTGAAGCTTTTATCCACCCTGAAACCTACTCTGGGTGTGGACTTTGGGGGCACCAGGTTCTGTGGTGCTGCTGTGTGTGGTCACCAGGATGGCTCTGCACCCCTCATTCACCGCCCCCTCCACCCAGACCCATGCACTCTGATGATTCCTGGACAGCTGCCCTTCTTTGACCTACAAAAATGCAAGTTCCTGAATCAGCGTCACCCTCTGGAAGCTCGCTTCTCCAGTCTTCTCTGCCTTCGTTTGTGTCTAACCATCATCTTAGACTCTGTCTGGTATTTGTTGCCCACGTCGCATCCTGCCCCATCCCCTTCTACAGGTCTGCCCCTCACATGTCCCTGCCCTGCTCACTGCCCCCTAACCGGCGCAGTGAACGCCTGGTGAGCACTTGCCCTTCTTTTACTCCCCTTTACCATCTGTGGTTAGACTGTTCTTGGTAAGCCCAGGCCTGATCCCATGTGCCACCACTGTCAGCGTGCAGTTCAACCTCCTTAGCATGGTCCTTCCTGCCTCACAGCCCACGTAGCCCATCCCTTGCTGCACCCAGAGTAGGGGGCTGCCTGAGCTGCCCTTCATGCCCTGTGTCCGTCTTCCCTGTACAGGGACTGTCTCTGGGAACTAGCCGCCGAAAACGTCCCTGACCTCTGAGATGTGTTTTCTTTGATTATCAGATTGATGACCTTGTTTTCGCCTCTTTTTTCCCCTAAGGACATGAGTGTTTCTTAATATTTGTATGTGGGTGTGTGAACATATCTCTAACAGTACACTTGGAGCTGGCACCACTTTGGCTGTGACATACGGTAATATGTTCTCTGTGTCCTGCTCATCTTGAGCCGCAGTGCACATCACACAGCCTGGTGCTATAGCTGCTGTTGACCAGTGCCTGGGGCACCGACAGTCCGCCGGCCATCTCCGTGTGCTGGCTCCACAGCAGCCGGGCAGCCCCAGGAGGGTTGTCGTGGGGCGAATCTCTGTTGCCTCTGGATGCACGCCCTTGGCCTTATGCTGACCATTACTTTGAAGGGAAGTGGCATGAAGTCCTTGTGCTTCTTTTCCAGGCCCATCCCCGGAGTCAGGGCCATGCTCATGTTCATGGCCTCTGACAGCGAGGAGGAAGTGTGTGATGAGAAGACCTCCCTGATGTCGGCTGAGAGCCCCACGCCACTCGCCCGCCAGGAGGGCAGACAGGGCCCCGAGGACGGCAAGAACACCACCCAGTGGGTAGGTGCCCGCTAACGGCTGAGGCTGAGACAGGCCTCTGGGGCTTGTGGGCCTTAGGGAGGAAAGCCCAGCATTCCTGGGTGTGGGAGGAGGGGCAAGTCAACGTGGGAACTGGACAAAGTGGTCAGTCTCCCTTATGGTACTAGTGACATCTCTCATCTGGAGGGGCTTCTCGTGGAGAGCAGGCTGGGGAGGGTGGGGGTGGGTGTGTTTGATGATGCGCCATGCCCCAACCCCAGGCCTTCCAGGTGCAGGTTGCACATTCACCTCTGTGTGTTTGGCAGCCTGGGTGCTCGATGGATGAGCACAGGAAATGCTAAAGAGAAAACCCTAAAGAGAGGGAAGAGACGCCGTGGTGGTGGGAGGCCAGGCGTGGTGACCAGGAGATGAGCCTCTGTCATTTGTGTGTGAGGCAGTGGTGCTTCAGTGCCACAATTCTCACCTCCCATGCCGGCGACCGGGGTCCGCTCCTGGTCGGTGCACCACGGGTGCAGCACCACCTGTCTGTCTGTGGAGGGTTGTGTGTGGCTCTGTCGCTGAGCACATTTCAGAGGAGCTTCCAGACTCAGAAGGCCTTGGAAGACAGACCTGGCAGTCAGTCCACTCCTGAACATCCTATAGAGCAAAACTGCCACCCCATTGTATGTGGACGGGGCACCCACCACCAACGGCAACAGAGGAGCCGTGGGCTACACGGCGCCCTCTCTGTGCTACTCCCGGGGCAGGGGATAGCAACATGAAGATGGGACATCCCAGGGAGTTTGCCCATTGTAGCCTGGCAACAACCTAGCATGCAGAATTTCCCTCCCTGCCAGACTTATCCTCCTTGCGGAAAGGAGAGCTCATTTATCCCGGCGTCTGTGTGCATTTTTGCTTGTTTCCCTTCCTATTCACCAGCAGCTTTTCTCGCCCGTCCCAGCCAGCTAGGTAGATTGGCATCCTCACCGCAAAGAACTGATACTGAAACCACATTTCTGAATGTTGTTGTATTTGGCATTTTCTTTGACCGTGAGTCTAATCAGAAGACAGTTAATGACCTTGAATTTCCTAAATGAAATCTTGCAGGTCACTTTGCCCTTGAGTCTGGCAGCTCTCCCATGCTCGTTGATCCTCTCCCACTGTCCCAGAGTCATGGTGGCAGAAATGACTTGCACTCCCCCACGCTTGGCGCTTCAGCCCCCCCCACCCACCCACCCACCCACGTAGCATCACAGAAGAAACGCCTGGTGATCTGCCTCCTTAAGATGACTTGCGGGAAAACCCTGCGGAGCGTTTTATTTGTACCACACAGGGTGGCCACGAGCTGTTGGTACTTTGCTCTTCCCCTTGACTTCTCGCATGCTGGGCATCGCGTCCACCTAGCCTCTCTCCAAAGACCAAAATCCCGCACGTACTGCCATCAAGTCCAGTCTGATTCATGGCGACCCTGTGTAGGACAAAGGAGAACTGCCCCTGTGGGTTTCTGAGTCTGTCACTCTCTGTGGGAGCAGAAAACCTCATCTTTCCCCTGAGGAGCAGCTAGTGGTTTCGAACTGCTGACCTTGTAGTTAGCTGCCTAATGTGTAATCCATTATGATAGGGCTTCAAGCAAGAAATTGTTACACAACCAGGGCCATACAGGCATATAAAATAGATATATGAATCACACAGTTACTACTAATAAATCATAAAGACATTTATTTTGCAACAGTTCTTTGGTGTATATATGATTTTATCATTTATTAAAGATGAAAGTAAATGTGCATGCTAATGAGGTGGATGTTCTTTCTACATAAAGAAGTACATCTCAGTACAATATTTGTTGCGTGTTCAGAAACCTTTTACTGTTGCCAGTTTTTCACAACCCCCACATTCATTTACCCCCCTAGGGGGCCATGACCCACAGTTTAAAAAGCTTTGCACCAGAACTCCTAAAGTTATAAAATATGTACACTTGATTTTGTGGGGCAAAAAGTTCAAAGTAATTTCTTCTCCTACATATTTCCCATGTCTGATTCATAATCAGAGCCCTCATGCATGCTTGTGATTCTAATTTATCATTTATCAAACAAAACTGTTTACTCTCTCTTTTCTTCCAAGAATCTGGCCTGTATCCTCCCAGTCAGAATGAGCATGAAAACAGAATCGAGCAGTGTCAAGAGCAGCCGGTGCTTGGGAAGGGGAACTTCCTTGGCTCTTTAGCCTTTCTGGCTGGGGCCCTACCTATGCCCCTCTTATTGGTTACAGTGGCCTCCCCGCCAGGGTGGGTTGTGGAGCGCTGCCAACTCAAAGTCTTCTCTTCTGTTGTCCTGGTCAACTTTTGAAATGTTTTAGAAATTCCAGCCACAACTTACAGACTGGTTCTTACATTTTGAAGAAACAGAAGTCACTACCATTGAGTCGGTTCTGACTCAGCAACCTTGAGGGGCAGGGCAGAGTCACCCCTGTAGGTTTCTAAGACTGTACCTCTTCATGAGATTGGAAAGCCTCCTCTTTCTCCTAAGGAGCAGCTGGTGGTTTTGAGCTGCTAACTTTGTGGCTAGCAGCCCAACACTGCTAATCAAATTTAGGTTCTTACATTTGTTGTTGTTATCGGGTCAGCTCCGACCCATAGTGACCCTGTGTGCGCAACAGAAGGAAACACTGCGTGGTCCTGCGCCATTCTCGCCATTGCTCCTGTGCCCGAGCCCATGGATGCCACCAGTGTCAATCCATCTCATCAAGGGCCCTCCTCTGTTTGACTGCCCCTCTGCTTTACCAAACACAATGGCCTTCTCCAGAGACTGGTCTCTCCCAACAGTATGTCCAAAGTATGTAGGATGAAGTCTTGCTCTCCTTGCCTTTGAGGAGCATTCTGGCCTTACTTCTTCCAACACAAGTGGGTTTGTCCTTTTAGCAGTCTATATTCTTCTCCATATTCTTCTCCAGCACCACAATTCAGATGCATCCATTCTTCTGCAGTCTTCTGCATTCAGTGTCCAACTTCCACCTGCACATGATGCAATGAAGAAGACCATGGCTTGGGTCAGGCACATCTTAGACCTCCAAGTACATCCTAGCTAACCACTACTCTAACGGGGTCTTGTACAGCAGTTTTACCTAATGCAGTACGTCTTTTGATTTCTTGGCTGCTGCTTCCATGAGCATCGATGGCAGATTCTAGCAAGACAAAATGGACAGCTTCAGACTCCTCTCCATTTATCATGATGTTTGGTACCGTCGGTGCAGTGGTGAGAATCTGGGTCTTCCTTACATTGAGTTGTAATCCAGACTGAAGGCCACAGTCCTTTATCTTCAGCAGCAGGTGCTTCAGTTCTTCCTCACGTTCAGCAAGCAAGGTTGAGCCAACTGCATACTGCAGGTTAATACGCCTTCGTTCAATCCTGATGCCAGACTCTTCTTCATATAACCCAGCTTTGCTGATGATCTGCTCAGCATACAGATTGAGTAAGTATGGTGAGAGGATACCGCCCTGAGACACTCCTTTCCTGGTTTTACACCATGCAGTGTGCCCTTGTTCTGTTTGCACAACTGCCTGTGGATCCATGTGCATTTAGGAATTACTCACACTAGAAAGCCACATTTAAACTTCGTGTCAGGGGTTCTAAAAGCCCAGGCCCTGTATCTCTGGAAGGTGGGGGGGCGTGTCCCAGGCCCTCACAATGTTGTTTCCCACAGAGAAGCCAGGAAGGCGAGGAGGACTGTGAGGAGGACCCCGACCGCTATGTCTGCAGCGGCGTGCCTGGGCGGCCCCCCGGCCTGGAGGAAGAGCTGACTCTCAAATATGGGGCAAAGCACGCGATCATGCTGTTTGTGCCCGTCACGCTGTGCATGGTCGTGGTGGTGGCTACCATCAAGTCCGTGCGCTTCTACACTGAGAAGAACGGACAGCTGTGAGTGGGGGCAGGGCGGGCGGGCCCCTGTTGACTGCCTGGAGCCCGAGTTCACTGCCTGGCACACCCGCCGGGGCACTGTTCCCAACCTCTCCTTGGGCTCCCTCAAGGGCGCCCTAAGAAATTCCGTGAGCTAGCAGGTGTAAGGAAGGGCTTCAGGCAAGGCCTGCCCCAGAATGAGCCCTTGGGCACACTGGTGTTTGTCCCAGAAGGTGAAGCCTCACACGCTGCACCGAGCCTGGCTTCCCCAGCTCAGGTTCCAGGTCTCTCTGTGACCCCGAATAAGTTCCTGCCTCCCTGGGCATCATTGCCTGGATGTGAAAGGAGATTGGTGGGCCGGATGACTCAGCTGCTCGCTTCAAGGCTCATGAGGGAGATGGGTCTCCCCTGTGTGGTTTCCAAACTGTAGCTTCATTTATTTATTTATTTTGAAGATGAATAGAAAGCCTCCTCTTTCTCCCGAGGAGCAGCTGGTGGTTTCGAACTATAGACCTCATGGTTATCCACCCAACACGTTACCCACTCTGGCACCAGGGTTCCTGAGGGAGACTGAGGGAGCCCGCTGTGTTTTTGTGAAACTTGTCCCTAGGTGAGTGGGAAGCTTCCACTGGCCCCCAGGGTGTCATTGCTGAGGGCAGGCCTTTCCTGAACATCTCTTACTTGGGGAGGTTTGGGTGGGTTGGTTGGTTGGATGGATGGATTGATTGAAAAAAAAGGAGGAGAGAGAAGCCCCCAGCAAGTTTCTATCTGATGGGGCCTCAGAGCAGCCCAGGTAAAAAGTGATCAGAGAATTTAGCCAGCCTTTTGCTCCCCTACTGGGAAAAGTGAGCGACACCCATCTAGTGCTGCTTGTGCCTGGTTTTGAGTTGACTGTGGCAGTGAGTGTCGGGGGTGTGGGGGTACAGTGGGGGGTTGCAACCAGAGCAGAGACTGGGCTCTGCAGGGTGGAGGCTGGGTGGGGAAGCAGGAGGGTGGAGTCCTCACCACTGAGGGGGGCTGATGGGGAAGGTTTGGGCATGAAGTGCTGAGGGAGCAGAGAAGTGGGGTACACAGAGACGAACCCAGTGGTGCTCCAGGGAAGCGAGATTGTGGAGGGGGTGGGCAAGGCAGGGGGGGGTCTTGCACCCATTTCCCTGCTGCGACCCTGGGCTCCGGCTGCCACCAAATCCACTCCAACTCTTGGACTCTCCGTGCGGTACAAATGGCTAGCAGACCTGCTGCTCACTGACTGAGTGTTAGCCACGCCAGTCTGTGCAGAGGTGTTGCAGATGAGAGACCTGGCAGCCTGGGAAGTGCCAAAGTGCAGCCCTGGGAAGCTCCGTGGAGCCCAGTGCCGCTCTGGCGGGTGGGTCCCTGCGAGTCAGAGTGGAAGGTCGCCAGGGGGCCTGGTTCCCCTGGGCTCAGTTGGAAGGCCGAGGGGCCAAGGACGGTGTGGTCAGGGTGATGGGAAAGCCCTTCGGAGACACAGTGGTAGCTGGCAGAGGGGCACGGGGATGGGGCCTGTGTGGTGGTGCCAGAGTGCTTGTGGAGACATGCTGGGGCAGGGCCCTTATGGGCTGGTATGCGGGGCCAGCAGGTCCCAGAGGCCATTGGTCAGCCCAGTCCTTTCCCCCCAGCATCTACACACCCTTCACGGAAGACACACCCTCAGTGGGCCAGCGCCTCCTCAACTCCGTGCTCAACACCCTCATCATGATCAGCGTCATCGTGGTCATGACCATCTTCCTGGTGGTGCTGTACAAGTACCGCTGCTACAAGGTGAGGACCCACATGTGCCTGCCTCTGCCCCCTCCTCGCCCGCCAGGCCTCGGGACACCTCTGCCCAGTGGGGACCCTCAGGCAGCCACTTGTTTGAAAGAGTATCAGAATCCCTCTTTTCTGAAAAACCAAAAACCGAACAGCTACAGTGGAGCCCACTGCCTGGTGGCGGCCAGTGTCGGGGTGTCTGGAGGCCGCATCTCAGGTCTTCCTCCCCAGGCACTCCTGCAGCGACTCCAACCACGGGTCGCTCCGTCCTGACCATCTGCGCCACCTAAGGGTTCCTTTTGCGAAACAGACTCTGCTTTTTGGTTCCCGCGCCCGCCCTTCCCCGCGTGCCACCCCCTCGGGCCATCCAGTGCCCTCGTCCAATAAGTCAATGCCGCTCTCCACGCAGGCAGTACACCAAGGGTCACTTCTATTCAGAAGTTAATTTGATCTTGCTTCTCTTTCCCAAGAAGTGAGGGGAGCTATTTTAGGGTCCCTTCACCCTGACACTTCCCCTCTGGATTTATTTTTATTTTCCATTTCCTCTTTGGACAGAGATCGGCAAATTCTGTGCTGAGATCTTCTCGCCTAGGAGGTGTTGGGGTTTGCCCCAAGGAGCAGGGCAGTCGCTGAGTCCCCCTCCCTCCCCCTGAACATCCTCTGTCCTCCTCTGTGTGTGCATTCTCTGTCCTCCAAACGCGTCCTGTGGTTTCAGGCATTGGCTTCCTGCCTCTCCTCGCGGGGAAGGCTGCAATGGAAGCACGTTGAGCCTGGCATTCCATGAGTCAGTGTCGCATCGCTTCTCTGTGGCGGGAAGCTCACATGTGGAACTCTGTCGGTTTCTGGTGACTGGTTTGTTGCAAGCAGATTATGCCGGACTTTTCATCCACAGTGCCTCCGGGTGGACTTGAACCTCGGACCTTTTGGTTAGCAGCTGGGTGTGTTAGCCACATGCCACCCCAGGGACTCCTAAACTAGGCATTACCTAAGTTGTTGTTAGTGCCAACTGTGGTGACCACCGAGTAAAGAGAACAAAACCCTCCCCAGCCCTGTGCCCCCTAACTGTTGTGACGTCTGAGCCCATTGCTGCAGCCCCTCTCTGCCTAGCACCTGGAGCGCCTTCCTCTTTTTCTCAGGCCTCTGCTCTTCCGAGCAAGATGCCCTTCTCCAGGGACTTGTCTCTCCTGAGAACACGTCCGTGCATTTGAGACTGCCTCGCCTTCCTTCTCAGGGGCGTTCTGGCTATACTTCCTCCAAAACAGGTTTGTTCTTCTGCCAGTCCTGTATTTTCCATCTCCTTCACCCACTCCGTCCCCAAGTGCACCAATTCTTCCTTGGTCCTCCATCCTGCTTGGCTTTCGGGTGTATGCGGCAGTTGAAAATCCCTGAATCAGGTGCCCCTTCCTTTTCAAAGTGTTGTCTTGGTCCTCTTACCCCTTTAAAGAGATCTTTTGCCGAAGATGTGTCATTGGGCTTCCTGCCTACGGTTGACATGATCATATAGTCACCTCGTTGAGCGCTGCTTCCGTGCAGGGAGTCTGCATGCAAGGAGCAGGTGGAGAGAGACAGGGCTCTTCGTGCATGGAGGTGAGGGAGTTGTTGCTGCTAGGGTGGGATGAGGAGGAGCCATCGGGAAATGTCCCCAAGCTGTAGTAATCAGATGTCAGTGAGGCAGAACCTGTAACAGTAGGGATGGTAGGAAGCAGGGCAGAAGGGTGCTTGCATGGGGCAGAGAATATAGCATGCTGAAGACCAAGTCAGACACAGATGGGATGTGGGGACATGAGAACGGGCTGCTGCGGTCAGCAGGTCTCTGGGAGACTGGCCGGAGACAGCTCAGCTGTTCCCTCAGTGAGGTGTGTGGTGCCTGTCTCTCTGCCAGGCCCCATTCTGGGCCTGGGGACCCGGCAGTAAGCAGGGCAGGCGGGTGCCCTCTCAGCTAAAGGTTCTGTGACTTTGAGGCCAGGCGGGCAGTGATGGCTGGGACACAGGGAAGCTCCGAGGTCCCCCTCCCTTTCTGCTGTGTTTCAGCTTGACCTTTAACACTGCCACCGGGATGAGCTGAGACCCGGCCCGACTAAGCTCCTTGGTGGGCTGAATGCATGATGGGTAGGTGAGCCTGGGAGGAGTGCCGCCACACTACTGGCCAGTGGCTGGCTGAGGGACAGATCTGTCCCTGCTTTGGTTGGCTAGGGGAAGTGGCACGTATGTCTGTCCACCTGAGGCCCTGTCTGTAGACTCTTAGATAGGAGGAGACTCCCTGGGCTGACTCTTCAAAATCCCCTCCCTTACGCCAGTGCTCACTACAGCACTATTCCAAGTACCTCTTCCCTTTAGGTGGGAATGCCCACCAACGGAGGAGTGGGTAAATAATACTGTGCGTCCACACTTACCGTGGAAACCTGGAACAGGCCAAAATGTGGATGAGCCTTGAGTCACAAAAGAACAAATACCATTTAATCCCACTCACCTGAAATGGCCAAAGCAGGCAGGAGCATAGAGACCAAAAAGCTCCCTCAAGAGCCTGTCACCCTATGCTGCCCGTTGTTATGATTTTCTTCCTGACTCTTACCAATAGCTCCTAACACATTCTGTGTTCATTCATGTCTTTATTTCTTATCTATCTTCACTGGAGTGCTGTGGGGTACCAGCCCCCACAATCGAATGGGTCCATGGGGCGGTTGTGTAATTGAGGGGTAAAATTAAAGAGACATCAGACAAGACAACGCATGTAAAGGCTCACCTTCACTGTCATGACTTCAGGAGCCAGGTCTGGGCAGAGAGAGAGATACCATATATTTCCAACCAAGACATATATACACTCAGGGGCGTGCAAGCCCCCCTAATTACAGGTAACCACTTATGCAACAAAGTGGCCTGTCACCCAACTGCAGAGGTCCCCGAGTATACTGGAGGAGTAACCCAACAACAGTGCCCGAGGCAGGTAAGGGGGAATGGCTGTCTTCAGAGTCTAGAGAGCAGTAGCACACAGTTGCTCCTGTAATTAAAGCTGTCGGCTACATAGCTATCAGCCATGTGCGTGTAAGAGGTGACTTTAAGGTAGCACTATGATGGGAGGATATAGTGAGGAACAATATAATTATGAGAATGGGATTGGGACTCACTTCCAATTCACAAGGGTGAAGGCCTCCCTCCACCCCAGAAACCCAGCCTGCCAGGCTCCTTAATGGAAAGATTCACCCATATACACCTTCTTCCCATTCTCCGTACCCCACAGAGTACAGGACATAGGGACAGAGACTTGGCTAGTTTTATTCCCAGAGTCTAGAACAGTGCCTAGCAGGTAACACATGAAATAGTCTTTCTAAACAGTGGACTGGCGAGGTGGGGGGGCACCATTGTGGGTGTTGACTGATCCAGAACTTCATCAGTCCTCATCCTTGCTCACTGGGGGACCTCGACAGAACGCTTCCTTCCTGTCACACGGTCCCCGGGACCCTTGCCTGGGTGTCCCAGTGCTTCTGTCACACAGATGCCACAAGTGTGTGTCTTTAAAGAGCAGGACTCTGCGGTTTTCCCGTCCGGGAAGCTGGAAGTCCGAATTGAGAGCACCAGCTCTCAGGCAAGTCCTGGGTCATTCCTTGTTGTTGTTAGGTGCCCTTGCTCGGCTCCGGCCCTTCGCGACCCCGTGCGCAACAGAAGGAACCCCGCCCTGGCCGGCGCCGTCCTCACAGTGGGTCCGATGCCCGAGCCCAGGGTGTCACTCTTTGCCATCTCTCTTCCCCCACGTGTGTTTCTGTGCCTGCTTCTGCTTTTTCATAAGCACCTCTCAGAAGTAACTAGGTTCAGGACCCACCGTTCTCTGGTCTGGCCTCAGTAACATGACAAACAAGAACTCCTATTTCCAAACAGAGGTCATTTAGATCGGGGTTAGGACTTTCATTTGTATTTTGCAGGGAGACGAGGGGTAGGGGCACAATTCGACTCATAATAACCTTCCAGCGTTTTTATGAAATAGTGATTTCCTGAGAAAGATGTTCCAGCTTAGGCATCAAGCCCTGCTGTTTTCGGCACTCGAGGAGACCCATGACTGCCTGTCTCCTTCTGTCATCTAGTTTATCCATGGCTGGTTGATCATGTCCTCCCTGATGTTGCTCTTCCTCTTCACCTACATCTACCTCGGGTAAGTAGCGGTCCTCGAGACCCCTCCTCCTAGGGTGACTGACGGGGCAGGAGCTGGGCAGGCAAGGGCGTCCCTGTGCTGCAGAGCTACCAGTGGCTGCTGCTCCAGGAGTCCAGGCAGTGTGGTGGCTGCCACAGCCTTTTCCACCGGGATGGGGAGCAGGCTCCGTGACGGGCCACGTGGCTGTCTGTGGGCACAGAGTCAGAACAAGCAAAGCCTTCATGGAAGAAGCTCTCTCTAAACCTCAGGGGGCTGGAAACTCCTCAAAATTGAAGTTCTCTTTGGACCAAGCTTGGTACTCCCAATTTGTGGGAAGAACTCCCTGCTCTATTGCCCCGTGATTTGGGGCAGCAACCTGACCCAGGAGCCCAAATATTCTGACAAACCAACTGCTGTCAAGGCACCCTGGACTCAGGGCACCCCACCTATGTGGATGTAGAACTGTAGTCCATTGAGTTTTCATAAGTAGAGTGCCAGGCCTCTCTTCCTCAGCACCTCTGTGTGGACTTGTGTTATTCTGGGTACATTAGAGAAACAAATCCAGAGAAACTCATGTATAAGAGAGTTTTATATAAAGGGTAAGTGCATATCAAGAAAACATCCCAACCCAGTGCTGCCCAAGCCCACGAGTCCAACATTAGTCCATATGTCCAACACCAATCCACAAAGTCCTCCTCCATCTCACAAAACACAAGCAATGATGCCAACTGCAGGAGGAAAGCCAAATCAGTGAACGTGTAAGCATCTCAGTGCTGGAAGGGGTCTCCACATAGCTGCTTTCAGCACCCAGGGCTGCATCGGGGTAGGTCCATGTGGCTTCTCCTTGGGGATGTCTTGCAGGGAGTCAGCCTTGCCAGCTGAAGCAGGGAACTGGCTAAGGCAGCTGCACCCTTGTCTGACCATCAGAAAGCAAGAGACTTGAGAATTAGAAAGGCGAGGTTCACCGAGCCATTTATCTCTCTGCCCTTCAATTAACTCCACATGTGTTTATCGGTCAGGTTGGCACAATAAACTTTAACTATCTCAATCTACCCCTTGCCAACTTGGCACCTGTACATAATTCTTTAGCCTCACAATTGTAATTAAGTAACATTTAAACCTAGAAAGGAGAGGCTCACCGAGCCATTTATCTCTCCGCCCTTCAATTAACCCCACATGTGTTTATTGGCCAGGTTGGCACAATAAACGTTAACTGTCTCAGGACTCAGACCCCAAGTCTTTTGGTAGCAACCAAGCATGCTAGCCATTTGCACCCCAAGAAAAACTTTTCCATAAGCAGAAGGACCTTCGACGTCATGGCGGTGCCTTTACACCCCATGAAAACCCTCAGGGGCAGCTAGGCCCTGTGGTACCGGACTGCTATGAGTTGGAATCACCTCGATAGCAGTGAGCTTGTGTTTTTTCCAGGCAGGAATGCAGGAATGCCAGGCTTAGTTGTAGGACCAGTGGTCATGAGAAGAGATCTTAGTCAATCCGGCCAGGGGTTGGGAGAACCCACCTGGGGACTTACTGGTTGGAGAATGGGGCCTGTTAAACCGGGTCAGGGTCTCACGTCTCCCTGGCTATGTCTTGGTCCCGCAGGGAGGTGCTCAAGACGTACAACGTGGCCATGGACTACCCCACCCTCTTCCTGACCATCTGGAACTTCGGGGCGGTGGGCATGGTGTGCATCCACTGGAAGGGCCCCCTCGTCCTGCAGCAGGCCTATCTCATCATGATCAGCGCACTCATGGCCTTGGTGTTCATCAAGTACCTCCCGGAGTGGTCCGCCTGGGTCATCCTGGGAGCCATCTCTGTGTATGGTGTGTGGCTCTCACAGGTTGTCCCAGATGTCCGATAACCAGAGGCCGTAGAGAAAGGGCAGCCATCACTAGTCTTGTCTCCTCCCCGAATATCACATCCTTCCACGCGGAGCCTGAATCTCCCACACGCGCTCACAGTGCTAGTCAGTGGGGAGTCGTTTGTTGCCTACAGCAAGAGCAGACAGCATCCAACAGGAGAAACCCCCTGGCTAGAAGCTGTCTGGGTGGAGACGGGAGACTCATGTGCAGGTGTACCACCGTCTATCATAGTCCAGGGACTGGGCCCTACCATACATTGGTCCCCCAGCTAGTCAGCTTGGTGAGGTGGGCTGGGAACTTTTCCTACCCATACTTCACCTAGCACCACAGCTGAGGGCCAGAGAGGGCCTCTTCCAGCTGTTATTCTAATCTGCAGGTGTGACCCACTGCAGGAAGCAGAAGGGTCTTAGTCTGATCACGTAGAGAAGTGGGGCAGCCAGATGTTCTTGTGAGTGCAACTTGGGTGAATCTGTAACTCATGAACCCTGCTGGTTGAAGTGTGATTTGTTCTGAGGCCTAAAGATTCTATCAGGGAGGAGGGGGGCAGACCATAGCCACCAGCCTTGCCTGAAGGCTGGCCTCCTTAGACAGTGTGGGAGTCGGGCAGAGGTGGCCAAGGTCTGTCCTGGTCAGCTTCACTGATGCTCAAATGAGCAGGATCACCTCCCTTCCCAAGGTTACTTTGACGGTCTTCCTCCAGAGAATTCACCCTTCTAAGCCCTGGGAATCCCATAGACTCCTGGTGTTCTAGAAATGACACACCTGAAACTCCTAATATGCCATTATCATTGTGATATGCAATATAAAACTCCGTTATTACAGACCTACTGCCACGGAGTCGATTCTGACTCATGGGGACCCTCCTCCATAGGGCAGAGTGGAACCGCGCACTCAGGTTCCCGAGGCTGTAAGTGTGGATGGGAGCAGACAGCCTCACCCATCCTCCCCCCTCAGCGCAGCTGGTGGGTGTGAATGCCCAGCCTTGGATTCTCAGCTCATGTGGAACTTGACTGAACACTCACCCAGTGCCAGTTTACACAGAATTGTTTGCAAGTAGCCCTCAGTTCATTGACCACAGTGCCCTGAAATAACGAGCGTCCCCAAATAAATGTTAGCTGCCCTTTGATTGACAGGAACAGGATCAATAGTACCACAGTAGTAGTTAGTACTTCCATTTTAAAGAGAAGGGGTTTGAGGCTCAGCAAAGCGCAACGGGATCCCAAGTTGTCTTTAACTGTGGAGCGCAAACTCTAGGGCACTGAGGCGCAGGTCTGCTTGGGGCCCACTAGGGAACCCACGTGACAAGGACGTCCTTGTTTCCCCAGATCTTGTGGCTGTGCTGTGCCCCAAGGGGCCGCTGCGGATGCTGGTGGAGACTGCCCAGGAGAGAAACGAGCCCATCTTCCCTGCCCTGATATACTCATGTAAGTAGCCCGCCGCCTCGGCCTGACGAGTCTGGAGACACCAGCGGTGAGCAGGGGACTCTGCTTCTGCCCTGAACGCTGAGGGCACGGGTGGCTCTGCTGGTCTCAGGTGTCCACCTTGCAGAGGCAGGTGAGCTGCCTCTGCTCCAACACAGGAGGGGCTGGGTTTTTCCGAGCAGGAGGCGTGGCCCATTTTCACCTTCATCCTGCCAATCCGTCATTGGCAGGTGGTAGGTGGGGTGGCTGCAGCCTTTGAAACCATGCACCCACTCCTTCGTCTTCCTGGCTACCCCCAGGCTCCAGAGAGGGGCTTTAGACAGACTTCAGGGCAGGGATGTTGGGGAGCAGGAGGCCCCTGGTTTTAATCTGGGCTTCCTCAACATTCCCTGGATGATTTAAACACTTAACACACCCAGCTGCTAGCTAAAAGGCTGGCATTCAAGTCCACTCAGAGTTACCTTGGAAGAAAAAGCCTAACCTACTTCAAAGAAAACCCACAAGGGCTGTTGAAAGCCAGCCCTGTGGAACACAGCTCCACTCTGGCACTGATTCTGTCACCACGAATCGGAGAGAACTGGGCCGCAGGTGGCAGTGTGTGGCTCTCTGAAGTTCATTGTCTCCAAAGGGCAGGCACACAGTCGCCCTGGCTTGGTGGAGGTGTTCAGAGACTTGGGCTTCTAGATGTTTTAAGCACATGTGTCAGGTCCCTGCTCTTTGGCAGACATTACGCCAGGCCCACACGGTCCTTGTCCCCAGGGATCTCCCAGTCCACCTGAAGTTCAAGAACATATTGAAACAGACCCGTCGTTATGGGGCCTGCTTCTTGCAGGGGCAGTCTGAGCCCAGGGAAGCCGTTTCTTGAACAAGCTACACAGTGCAGGGCAATTTCTGTACAAGTGGAGGATGTTAGCAGCCCACCCCGGGGAGGGCGTCAGTGCACACGACGTTTGCTCCAGTTAGGCTGACAATTGACTTGGCTGAATTCTGGGGACACTCACTCCACGCAGAAGGGGAGTCACAGGTGGAAAAAGCCCCTGAGGCACAGTGACCAGAGGAGAGGGAGGGAGGAGCCAAGTCTGTTTGACCCTGCAGATGCTGATGAGGGCTTCTTTGGATCCTTCACTCGTGAGCGGTGAAACCATTGGAAGGTTTGAGGGCTGCCAGACTTTACATGATGCAAGTTGTTGAGCCAAGGATGCTGTGTGTTTGTGTGTGTGTGTGTGTGTGTGTGTGTGTGTGTGTGAGTCGGGTGGTGGGGGAGCCAGCCCACATCCAGATGGGATCCTAAGAAACAGTTGTGTAATTGAAGGGAATAAATAAAAAGACAGACAAAAAGTTTTGGGTGCTCGCCTCCACCATGAAGCCGAGAGGGAGAAAGAGCAGAAGTAATGCACAATGTCTGTATACGGTGTCGGGACAGGCAGACCTCGTCAATTATATACGTAACTACCCCGGAGGTGCCTGAGCTCATTGGGGGAGAAACCTAATACGAGCATTGGGGCAGGCAGAGGGGAGTCGACTGCCCCCCTTGCGCAGGGAGAAGAAAAGAAACATGTCTGCTCCTATAGATAAGGATCCGGCCGGCCGTCTGTACAGTAATCCGCCATGTGCTTGTAAGGGAGCACTGTTATGGGAGGATCTTGTGGGGATGATTTTTAATTAGGAGACCGGAATTGGAACTCTTCTCCAAGACCCTTTGCAAGTGTGAAGGCCTCCCTCCACTCAGAACCCTCGCCTCCCAGGCTTTCATCAGGAGCATAGGGAATCTATCTGCTTACACTCTCTTCCCCGTCCTCAGTTTCCCACGGTGGCACGGGTGGAAGCAGGAGACCCAGAGGCTCTGTAATCAGCCAGGAGAGAGACGA